CAAATGGAAAAAAATATTTTTATATTATTTTACATATATATATGTTGTTATGTGCCATCAAGTTGTCTGCGACTCATAGCTACAGCCCTATACCCTGCTCTATTCCTTGCCAATCTCATTGTTTCTAACACACCTATCTCCATTACCCAAGTGACTGAATCATCTCATTGAGGGACTTCCTCTCCTGTGCTGTCCCTCCACATTCCCAGCATGACATCCCTCTCCAAGGACTGATCTCCACTTGCAGCATATCCAAAGTATGTGAGACAAAGCTTCAGAATCCTTTCCTACAAGGAGATGCCTGGCTTCACCCTCTCCAGGATGAACTTGTTTGTCCTCCTAGCAGTCAATGGTATATTCAACACTCTTCTCCAGAATCATAGGTCAAAGACATCAACTTGTCTTCTATCATCATTAGTAATTGTCAAGCTCTCTGATGCATAGCAAGTAATTGTAAAGATCATGGCCTATATCAGGTACACCTTAGTCTCCAGAGTGACATTGTTGCTCTTCATTACTTTGGAGAGGTTTCTAGCAGCAGACTATCCCAATTCAATTAATCTTTTAATTTCTTGTCTGCTGGTACCAAGATTGTTGATTGTAGAGCCAAGCAAAGTGAAACTGTCAACAGTCTCAATCTTTCATCATCTATCATGATGCTGCCAAATGGCCCAGTGGTGAGAATCTTTGTTTTCTTGATGGTGAGTTTCAATCCATATTGAAGCCTGCAGTCCTTGACCTTCTGCAGCAAGCACTTCAGGTTCTCCTCAGTTTCAGCAAGCAGGGTTGTGTCATCTGCATAAAGCAAATTGTTGATGAGTCTACCTCAGATCCTGATGCCACACCCTCATAGGGCCCAGCCTCATGGACAATCTGTTCTGCATATATTGCAAAGATATGGATATAGGACACATCCTTGATGCACACACTTCCCAATTTTGAACTATGCAGTGTTTCCTTGGTCTGTTCTGATACCTGCCTCATTGTCCAAGTATAGGTTTCATATACATACAATCAAGTGTTCTGGGATTCCCATTCTTCTCTTCTCAAAGTCAGTCACAGTTTGTTGTGATCCACACATCGTGATAGATAGATAGATAGATAGATAGATAGATAGATAGATGATAGATAGATAGATAGATGATAGATAGATAGATGATAGATAGATCTATATAAGCACAAATACGCATGCACACGCACTTTATATACACATTATATATATATACACACACTTTATATATATATACACATACTTTATATACACACACATACACTTCATATATATACACACTTTATACATATATGCACAGTATATACACAAACTTTATGTATGTATACACTATATGTACATTATATACATATACACTTTATACATACACACACTTTATATATACACTATATATATATATATATACACACACACACACTTTACATACATACTTTATACTTTGTATATACTTTATATATTTACACTTTGTAATATATATATATACACACACACTTTTCAAAAAAGTAATCATTGTTGTTCTTGATTGCCTTTGAGTCAAGCATGACTCATAGTGATTCTATAAACAAAAGAGCTAATGCCTTTCCATAGCTATCATCGTTTCTCCATGATCATAGAGTTTCCATAGTCATGTGATTTAGGAAGTAGATGCCACTCCTGCTTCCAAACCTGTTTTACATCTGGGAGCTCCACCAAACACTGTCCACATTAAGAAACCATTATGAAATTTGATACCCCAATGGCACAGGGTCATCATTACAGCAAACCCAGATTACCTCATTACAGCAAATTGACAAAGAGTAGTGTACAAAGTAGAACAATGTTCCTCTAAATATAACAACACTATTCTCATTTAGCAGTAGTTAAGTGTCATTAAGTCAAATACGACTCATAGCAACCCTATGAACAAAATACCTGAAATCTGTTCTATAATTAACATCATCTCTGTATTTTTATAGAGTTTATAAAGTTTCCTGAGGCAACTGGTTTAGGAATTGGATGCCACTCCTGCTTCCAAACTTGAGTCAATCTGGAAGCTCCTCCAAACACTGCCCATGATGGGCAACCATTATGGAATTTGACACAACTATGGCACAATCACAAATATTCATAGTTCAGGCAAATAAAAACTCAACTATATGATACATAGTCTTTGATTCACATTTTTATTATTTCGAATGATGTTCTTTTCTATCAGTAAACACATTTTTGAAGTCAGTATTTTAAGAAGGAAATTAGGATCCTATGGAGTAGCAGTGAGCATGTGCTTTTTTGTACTCTTTAAAATCTCTAGTAACTTTGGTGACCTAGCAGGTAAGAAGTTGTGCTGCCAATGGAAAGGTAGGCAGTTCTAATCTACCAGCTGCTCAGTGGGACAAAGAAGAACAGTCATCTTTCATGTTCCTTATAACCTCTGAAAACTCCCTAGAGGACCAGCTAGGAGTTAATAGATTTGAACCACCAACTTTTTTTGTCAGCAACATAGCACTTAACCACGATACCACTAAGAAACTTAGTCAATTCTAACACATACTGACCCTCCATCAGGTTTCTGAGGCTTAACAAGAGACAGTACCTATCTTTATCCCGTAGAGCTGCTGGTGGACTTTCACCACATGAGGCATTTGGCCTTTTTGTTCTAAGTACAACACACTACAGACTATGCTACCAGAACGCCTTTATTGCACAACTAGAGCTCCTTAATGAGAAGAGCAGATGACATTATTCTTCACTTTGCACCGTGAGCTCTTAATT